CCCCCCCCCCCCCCCCCCACACAAATCAGCTCACAGAAGCTTGCTGGAAAATTCAAGTGTAGCTTAGCTCATGGTTTGAGAAGTAGCTCTTAGGCAGCCGGCTGCCAAATTGCTGCAGCCCCCGATGGCTGATCTGGATGGTGCGTTGTTTGTGCCGTTGGGGCTGGTCTTGTATTTCTACTACTCTGCTAACTCATGTTTGGCTTTGCTCCTCGCACGCAAGTCTGACTTATTTGTTTTCAGCAACCTGGCAGTGCTTTGGACTCACACACATACACACCTGCCGGGATTCGTTGACGGAGTGCGTCAATGAAGAGACTTTGACTTATAACTTATATTGCTCAACATCTCAAGGACCCCACTGAGAACGAAGAGAGGCGCGACCTCATGAACCCTTTGTCCGAGAAACCCTGCTTTTTACCGCGGATGGCGTGCCTGCAGCTTTTGATGACTTGTTTGGCCATAATGTTGGTCTGGCCTTGAATGAATCCTTTGACAATCCTTTGAGGCCTTGTCAAATACAACCGGCATTGAGACCAGCCAACGGCTCTTGAATCTGCTTGGTTCACCGAAAAGCGAACAGCGGTTGGAATACTACTGTGTGGCAGCCCTAGGTCTACAACACGAAAGGTTGCATGCGACCACCCGGTTCCAGAAAGAGTTTGTAAGGAGCAGGGAGCTTGCTTCCCTTCTGTCGCTGATCAAGCTTGCCGGTCCTGCAGCTCTGGGCCATGGCAGTCGAGACCAAGCATGACAGATATATTAGTATCAACAGTGAACCATGCTGGAACAGAATGCGCATTGAGGACGACCCATTTCAGATACCGCGGCTTCCGCCAATGTACTTCGAAGTTCTTGCTCCGGATCTTCCTCTTTCAAGCCTCCAGAGCATGAGCGATGTTCTCTGGGCAAGCCTGGTGTCATTAGGACCGTTCATCTCGCTGCTTGAGACGTTACTTGGAGTTGGACGTCCCGGCTCAGGAGGAGCAACTGCCACCCACGCCCATGCGGACGAAAAGGAGCAAACCAATCGCATGCTCATCGATCGTGAGACCGTGCCTTGTGTCCTTTCACCCCTCAGCACAGGCAGTCAGGTCGTTACAGCATTCGCAGGACAATCACAAGATTCTACAGCTTAAACCCTACACTTCTCTTTGTTCTATCATGTATGCAAGCAATACATGTAAATCTGACGGAGCTACGGCTCAAGGCTCGTTGAGCAGCGGCTTTGTGTGCCACAGCAAGATAGAGAACGTCATGAAGACGGCAGTGGAGAGTGCGCAGCAAGAGGGGAACCCCACAAACGGTACCGGAGCAGCCAGTCGAAGGTACTGGCTTCCGTGGATGCGGAGCCAGGGATTGGCAAGTCTGTCGCCACAGCCATGGCACTCCTGAATTACACGCAGAAGTCTGCAGTTACGGTGTTGCTACAGGGAGATTTCCAGAAGAACCTTAGGGGCTTCGTCCGCGTTGCAGATGCTGCAGATGCTATAGACGTTGCTTCGGAGTTGTTTCGTATCCAGGCAGACACCGGCATTCGTTTACAGATGGTCTTTGACAGAGGAGTACTTGAAGGCTGTGAAGACGTTTACTGGAAAGGCCGAGAGGGTTCTGAACATGACTCAGTTGCCAGATGAAGTTGGCGGGTGGAAACCGGTGGACATCAAGGAATCAGGTCGAAGACCAGAAGCACGACAACAAGGACAAGGTGGCTGAAACACAGCGACTCCAGCAGTCTGGGTGAGGCAACGCCAGAAGGACAGCGATGGTAACACCAAAAGAATGGGCACTGATGCCTGCAAGATCGTGGGGAGTGTGAAAGACGTGGATGCAAGAAAAAGAACCCGAACAGCGTGACGTGCGACGCGTTTGAGATCACCGTTCACAGTCTTCAGGACGGAAGACGAAGACGCTTCCGTTGCACATGGTTATTGAAAGTCGGACTGCTATGGCTTCGTATTGTGCAGGCGAGCCGCTTTTGTCCTATTCAACGGGCGCAAATTTCGTGAGTACAGCGTTTCACCACGTGTTTCAAGTTGCACGGTCTCTTTTGTGAGTTGTAGACCAGGCAAATTTTAAGTCAACGTCGATCTGGGCAGGTGTTGCAGCTTTGGATTGGTGTTGGTGGGTCCTAGCGTGGGTGTTCTAAGAAAAGACGGTGTGCGATTGTTTGAGGGTATGACCGACTGTGTCCTCCTGTTGCCTACTTATTATGGGGTCTTGAACATGTTACGGGTTTTGTTTGGGGTATGAGGAAGGAAAGATGCCTTTGCAAAGTCCGACCGTGAGCGAAGCTGAAGGCGGGTCCTCGTAGACTTCGTGGCCGGCAGTACATAATTGGCGTTGACAGTCGTTGGATAAGTGTGGTTGTTGGGTTTGCTTGGGGTCTAGCTGCAAATTATTGCTGAGTGCACGCTGGGAACTTCTTTGCCGGTATTTTGGACTCCCCTTTCACACCGCCGTGGGAGTGAAGCATCTTGGACAAATGTTTGTCAGCCTGTTGCATCAAGCGAAAGCGTTGTGATTGTTTAGGCGGCTGTAGCTGGTGATGTAGCCCCCTTGCTACGATTCTTGTAGTTGCTGAGTTGGTCCGTTGTTCGAGTTGAGTCTGTTGGGGGGTGTTCTATTTGTTTGGTGTACCTGGGTTCTCGGGCTTTCAAATTCTAGAGGATGAGGCTTCTGTCCGGTCTGTGCGTCGGGAGTGCGGGAGCACTTCTCGAAAGAGACTGCAAGTGATTTTGTTTGACTATATGGGTGGTGAGCCGGCGCGAGGTTCTTGTGTTTGACCCTTGTGTGGTACAGTAGATCTGGATGATTGCACCGTTGGAGGATGGTTTGCTTCTTTGGCACCTCTTTTTACACCAGAGGAACTCATGGAGGTATCAGGCAGCCACGAAGTTTTTGTCTCGAATTCCTGCTGTCTGCAAAAAGAAACTGGCCATTGCCTCTGTGCGTTCGGCATGTAGCAATACAGGCTATTTCAATCGCGAACTGGTTTCTCATGTCTGACAACCTCGGGTCTCTAACCGCCATAATGACCATCCCAGTCCCTACACCTTGCTTGTTTTGCTGCTTGTTGCCTGGCGTTTTTCCCAGGATGGATGCGCCGACACCTGGCAGCCTGAAAGGACCTTCAAGGACGGTTGAGGCTTGTGGTTACTAGGGGCGGGTGCACTGCTGGGGCTTGTGGAATCTGGTGCTGAAATTTTGTGCTATCCATGGATAGCTTGACAGGGCTTGGGCCTAATTCGGTATTTCTAACCTTGCCGTGCAAGATGCAAATTTTGTTATCGTTCTATACTGGAGGGCCTATTTTTGTGTCCATTATTTTTTGCATCTTTTGCCATTTCCTTGGTCTTAATGTCGAATATTACCATTAGTATCAATTCATTATTCATATGAATGAATATTAGCATATTAGTATATCGTAGTAAGAGTAATAGTAGTAAAAGTAATAGTAGTAAGAGGCAGAGTAAGAGCAATAGTAATACTATACTAAGATTAATAGTAATAGTGATAGTACAAGTAAGAGTAAGATGGAACCCCAGCCCCAGCCCCCCAAAAAAAAATACCGCCGTCAGGAGCAGAAAAATAATGTGCAGAGAAATTCTCCGGCCGTTTATACTGCCTCATTGGCGATAGAGGCCGACAGAAGTTGAGACATCCGCCAAGGAAGCTGCAGTTTGAGACGTTGTGGGCCATCTTGAACATTGTCTCGGGAGATGTTCACCAGACGCAGGCACTGTGCTTCCTTTGGCTTCGGCTTTCTTGCCGTGTTTTCTGATGGGAGTCAGTCAGCAGTTTCTCCGCAGAGCACCGCGCTCGCTTGTAGGTCTTTCTTGGATGGTTGTGGCCTTTATGGCCAAGCATGAACGAATTTGCGCAAAGTCAAGATTCAGCACCCTGTAGCCTTGCAACCCTTATGTTTCAGACTTGAAGAGGCAATCGTCGATCTCGACGCCGTCCCGATCATTACCAACCTCCTGAGAGACTGCACGAACAGCGATGTCGCGTGGCTGATTCGCCGGTGTGGCCACTGCCCGATGTGCTAAGGCTCAAAGGCCCCTCACAAATCATCAGATGCAGAGAGTTAGACAGATAGATAGCTAGATAGATAGATAGATAGATAGATAGATAGACCGACAGACAGGGACAGACAGACAGATAGATAAGTCTCTCTGTTTGTGCATGCGTATATTCGTATACGTATGCAATCAGACACGTAACATAAACACACAGTGCACACGCACACAAAACCACACACGCCGCTGTCTCTATGCGGACGTGCAGATACGCCGTGAACCTTCAGTCCCCTTACCTGAGGGGTCCGAGACCCGACAAGGCCGTAGACGTGCGACTTTGAGTCCCCCAAAGCCTCGAGACAGAGCTTCCCACTCCACTAGTCCTGAAGGCTATAGTCTGAAGGCTTGAAAGAAGGGTGCGCTAGGTGCGACGCAAGCTTCTTCAGGGCTTGGCTTCGATAGGGTCCTGGGATTTTTTTCTTCTCTCTTTTGGTGATTCCACCCCAAACCCTATTCTAATTATTAAGGCCCCTTCTGAAGCTCAGCTTCTGGCCGAGGTTCTCGAGCAGGGTGTTTGGGCTTTGGGGAACATCGCAGGCCTGGCAGCCTCTGGTCGGGACTTTTGCGAATGTTGCGGTGCGTGTGTACCAAAGCAATTTGGCGTGTCTTTGGTGACCTGCGCTTTACGAGTTGTCTGTTTCAGCAGTCGGGAGTCGGGTGGATTTTCGTCGGTTGCGGGACAGGTGACTCTGTGCAACACAGAGACCTGTGCATTGAGCCCTGGCCAAGCAAGAAGTACACTTTAAACAGCACTGTCGGACTTGCCTCTTTGGACCGCTCCTCACGTGACGACACCTTGCCACCACTGTACTGGATAAGCCTGAAAGCCTCTAAGTTTCGTCTTCTACTTGTTTTGATGCCCCAAAAGTTTTCCAGCCCCGGGCCTCAGCGACCCTGCTCTCTAAGTCCACTGGCTCGTTGGCCGAAGCGGCTGGGCTGCAAAGGAGTCTGTTGGCAACTGGTGTCTTGCTGGGGTCGGAGAAGTGAAGAGGTACAGAATGCATTAGATGTGTGTTGATTCTTGATTGAGCTGAGGTGCTCAAGGTCTTGGAGGGCACCACCAAGATGCTTGGACAGACCGGAGAACAATCTCAGGGTCCGGGCTGTGACGGTATGTCTGTGCAAACTATCGGTATGCCCAGTGGGGGCTAGCAGTTTCGTCTTCAGGTGCCAGCGGGGTAGCATACATCCGGAGTCTTGTGGTAATCAGTGATGATCAGCAATGACTAGATGACCAGGACTCCTTTGGTATTGTCATCGAAGATGGCAAAGACGGTCAGTAACGATCTGTCGGGAATTCACTGTCCGCAGCCATTTGGGTGGGAGCACGGGTAACACGAAGACGTAGGGACGGTCCCTGTGTCCCTATTTTTCGATTTTCGTTCTTGCACCTTGGTGCTCCCCGGCGTGCGGGCCGACGGAGGGGGACGAGCATTACAGCCTGCCTAGGTTCAAGCCTTGCAAATTTGCTGGTCAAAAAAGCCCCAGAAAGCTGCCAACCTGAATCAAGAAATACGTTTACACCATTTTACACCCTGAATTTGATCCTAAAACCGCGCACGCCGAAAGTCCAAAAAACCGCGCTCTTCTCAGGACCAGCTGCATCAGGAACGCGACTTGGACCGTCTCCAACTTCTGCCGCGGCACACCGAAGCCCAGCCTCGAGGTCAGGATGGGAAGTGTGTGTATATATCTATATGTATATATATATATCTATATGTATATATATATATATATATTTTTTTTGTATAGGCAGATGATGTTGCATAGTGTATGTAAGATATAATGTAATATAAATTAATTAGATATTAGAAGAGCCATCCTATGACGTAATGCCCAGTGTCCCTTTGAGGAGTGATTGCGGCCTTTGTTATCAGGATGGCAATTAGCACCACTGCCATTGTTTTCAGACGTTATGACCATCATCACGATGACGAAGACGCTCTTATTGCCGCTGCTCGTGCTGCTGTGACTTTATCCTCACATGGCTTGTTGTGTTGCTGTTCTTTGACTGAGAAATGAATACCAAGACCATGGCCCGGCGCATGGCTCTTGCCATAGTTGTTGTGTCGAGCATTGGTTTATGATTTCCTGCTATGCCTATGAGAGACTCTGTGGAAATGGAGTGCTGTAAATGCCGGGGTCTTGGTGAGGAGGTTTGTGTCTGGGGAACATCCTGGCGAGGTTGGCTATAAGCCTGCATGATGAATGTGTAATGTGTTGTGATGTGTCAGTGTAGGGACTGCCGCAGTATCAGACTGACCGTGCTGTGTAGCGATCTGCAGCGCTGGATTATCCGAGAGTGAGTGTACAGCACCCCCAAACCCTAGATGTTTCAATCCGTCAACTCCATTTACAGGCGATGCTTCCGGCACTGCCGGTCATGGCTCGGGTGCTGCACAACACAGACCAGGACTTCGTGAAGTGGAGACGAACTCATGTTTTAGCTTCCACGCGCCCAGGTGATCTCCGGCAATCGACGGGTTGTGGTTGTGTAGGTATGCACACATTGGGGATGAGCCGGAGATGCCGAGCATCGTGCAATCCTGACACGTGCATGCGCAGGCCACGAACCCTGGCAGCCCTAGCCGCCCTAGCCCCTAAGCCGCATGCGGTGCTTGGGCAGGAAGTTCTGACAGATGCCCTTTGGACGGTCTCCTACGTCTCCGACGGTACAGAGAGATACATCCAAGCAGTTCTGGCTTCTCGGCCCATCAGGCGGTTGCAGCTAGGAAAAAGCGTTACGTTGTAGACCCCTGATTTCCCAATGCTTCGATTCCTGACGTCACTGCTTTGCGCCGGCGGTATACCATACATCACCAGATGTCATAATCAGACATTAGAGATTAGACATTAGATATTCGGTATTCAATATTAGGTATTAGATAGCATGTTTCCTAAACCCTAAAACGCCTAAACCCTCAACCCGAGTTGCGAGAGTCCAAACCCCTAAGCCCTAGACCTGCAACTATTGAACCTCGCCTGGCAGGTCGGAGTTGTGAGAGCATCAACCCTAAAACCCAAAACCCTGAGCCCGGATCTGGGAGCCAGTGTGCTTCGAGAGCCAAGGATACAGGCGTCTGTCAGAGGCCAGCGGCTCAGACAATTGTTGGGCGCATGCCCAAGACATGGATTAGGGCTTAGGGTTTAGCATTTCAGTCAGCAGAGCTGAGCTTCAGAGCCTGGGCGGAATCGCTGGCTCGCACTCAGAGCCCCTAACTAAAACCCTAACACCCTAAACTCTAAACCCTATACCCAAGAAGGGAGGCAAAAATACCCAAAAAGGGGCTTAGGGTTTAGGGCTGCGGCTGTAGAGACTGCAGATGCAGGGCTCCATAATCGGTAGCCTCATTCTTGTGCCAGGAGTTCGGTTACTGATGGCGACTATTCTTTACAATGTGCATGGCATTAAATAGGGCGGATTACTATTCTGTTGTGTATCTTCTTGTGCTGTGTGATGTTGTTGGCCCATTTAGTATGCTAGCGTACGATCTTTGCCTGCAATGGGGTGCTCACAAGCCTGCCAAGAAAAAGATCTGAGAGCTAGGCCATGCAGTCTTCTCCAGCGTGTCATGCGCAGGTTTCTGCTTCTTGCAGACGCGTTGGTGTAGCCGCAGCACGACAGATAGTTGCGTGAAGCCGTGTAGCTGACGAGTTTGGAGCAAGTCATGGTTCGTTTCGTTTCTTTGCCGGAGGACCCCCTTGAGCACTGGTAAGAGGGACTGCCAAATATCCAGTAGCAAAAGCATGCAAAAGCAAAGTCTCCAGGCAAACCATGCTCACCCGTGGTCGTTTTCACGACCGTCAGGCGTCGCACACTACCCCAAACTGAAATTGCCCCTCCCTTCTAAACACCATTTTTTGTATGACGTTTAGCCATAGGCCTCCAAAAAACCGCAACACGTGGAAAGCTGAGGGTCGTGGAGCTCCTCAGCCACGACTCGCGCCTTGGTGTGAGATTCGTTTTTTTTTTTTTTTTTTNNGAGGGCTTTCCTTGTTCTCCGAGGGACCATCGATTTTTCGGGTTTTTTTCTTGGTGTTTTCGGTGTCTTGCCTGCTTGTGCTTTTTTACTGCACTATGTGCTTGTTCGGCTTGTTTGTAGCCTGGAGAGGGACTTTGCTTCTCCAGGTCTTTTGTCGGAGCTTTGGTCGCCAAGCCCTACAGCCCAGGCTAGACTGGCCAGAACACTACAGAGGCCTGAAGAGAGCCAAGAAAAGCCCTGAGCTTCAAAAGATTCGCAGCACAAGACCCAACCCTCTTACGCAGATCCAAGGCCCCAGGTGCAGACGCCAGCGCTCCGCACTGACACCCGGCAGAACTCCACAAGCGAGAGGTTTATATTCGGCTTAGGCTTTGGATTTTTGTGGTCTGGGCGTTGGTCTGCTACACCTCGGGAAGTTTCGGATCCCGAGTCCAGGGTCAGCCATGGACCGAACTGGCTGAGAGCTTTGAACAAGTTGGTGGGGCCATGACAGTGAAAGCTTACGGATTCCAAAAGCCGTTTCGCTCCTGTGCGCGTTCCAGATCGTGAGAGGGCTATGCAAGTTTTCCCCCCGCCCCCCACCCAAAGACTTGCACCCGGGTCTGTACAGGTGGGCAACATCGTGACCGGCAGCGACACCCAGACGGATGCCGTGCTCGCTTGTGAGCCGGAGCCACAGAAATGTGGCAGATTCGGCCTCCGTATTACGGGTCGCAGTCCGCTGAGTGGCCCAAGCTTCAGGTTTTGCCTTCGGCATGTTGGAAAAAAGCATGTCATGTTGTGCTTGAATAGCTTGACTGACGAGGCCTTTCCCGGCTCTGACCAGACTTGTGGCCAGCAACTTGCCAGCACACATGCGATGGCGCAGATGGCCCCCAACAGCATCTTGGGCAAGTTGCTTGTGGCTGCCAAGGTCCTAGAATGAAGATTCGAAAGGCCAGCTTGGTGCTGTAAAGGGTCTTTCGAAGCATTGCAACAGCTTCTTGCATCATGCAGCCAGCATGAGTGTCTGTGATGGGCTATGGCCGAAAAGACTGAAGGAACTGAATCGCTGGCAGTGGACAGCAATGTCTCCGTTGTCGGTATTGGGGTTACCAGCAGTTGAGGTCATCGAGGGAGGTCGTTCAGTCTTCACTGTCCCGCAGGACATAGGATGATGGCCTGACAGCCCAATGTTGACTGCGGCCAGGAATGCTGCTGGCTGCTTTCGAATATCTGCGCCGGGACTGTGCATCAAGTTCAGCAGGTACTGAATGCAGGTGCTTCGGCAGCAGTCGATGCATGCGAGATTTTGTGACCATTATCGTTTCCAACTCAGGCTTCTTTAAAGTCCTGGCGGATGCTGCCGGTGATGCAGAGCACTCCGTGAAGAAGGAGGCGCTTGCTCTCAGTGCGCTGAGAGAAAGCCCCAGACTCTTAGGCACAAGGTGCGGTTGCATGAAATGCGTGCAACGGGTGAAGGATGTTCTGAATGTTCCTTTCGCTACTGCACGCACTCAATGCCGAGCACCCTGTCGAGTTTTCTGTGCGACAAGCGTTCAACCCAGAGCCTCGATAGATAGCGGACAGAGGCCATTTTCCTTCCTGGGCGTGTCAGGTGCGTTTGGCTGCTTGTTCTGTACAGCCTTCGGACTTGCTCTTCAAGCCCTCGGCGTTTAAGCTCTGCAGAGCAGCATGGACATTCATCCAACCACGGCCTTTGAGGCTGAGGAGTCCAACAGACAAACACACCGGACGTGCACCAACCGCATAGAACCGGCACGGTTGCCGCATGGTCTGTCGTTCAACAGTTTCGAAGGTGGCCTTGCCGTAAACTAGCACAGGCGAAGCAGAAAGAACGTTTAGATGTAAAGCGCATCAACCACTTGGCAAAGCCAAGGCAACCACACCCCAAAAATCATCGCCTGGACTTGAGAGTCCACCTCCGAAGACCTGCTGTTTTATGCCCAAAGCTTGCTGGGTCGTCCTCAAAGTTGCATTCCTGTGATTGAACCTTTTGAATGAACATGCTCTTGCTATATACATGGCAGGCCCGTTGAAGACATGATTTGCAGCAAGTCTTATTGCTCATACTGCATTACTGCTCGTCGTGTTCAACACCAAGAGTTCTACAACTATTGCTGACAACTTGAGCCGACTTCTCGTGAGGTGGCCTTCGCTTTGGCGAATGCCAGCGAGAAGAAGTCGATGGCAGCTGGACGGATGTTGATGGTATCACTTTCAGCCAGTGGGCAGTGACATCTCAGTACGGCCGTTTGATAAAGGGCCAAGCAACGCCTCGCAATAGTAGGGCCGCGGGCATGGCTGAACAGGCAGGCCTTCGAGGTTTAGCACGGAATCCGTTTGCATGGTTTGCATGATGAAGCTCAGGTTCAGCCATTAGCACCTCGGCATATGTCCTGCGGGTATGGACTGTCGCTGAGATTTAGCCATGCCGTGACTCTGTCTGCGCTGGTTGAACAGGTTTTGAAGCAGGCATTCTGAGTTCTGTCTGAGTTCTGGTTGCAAGATTGCAGCCTATCGTTGCTGTGGCAGCTTTCGATGCAGGTAGAAGCTGGCTGCTTGAATGCCATGCAGGCGATGCTAGACAGCCTTGGCCTCACGAGACGGCGTGCTCACAGTCAGCACCGGATCACGATCTTGCAGAACCATCTGCTACTCCATATCACCTGTCACCCTTTCTCCGAGTGCTTTAGAGGACTGTTTCATGTACGCAAAGATGACAAAGACTTTTTGGGCCGTGCAGCGAGGCCACGACCCCAAGCTCCAGGACTTGTCCGTGGTGTTTGCCACAAATGTCTGTGAGGCGCGTTTTCCCGCATGAGGATGTCTGAAAGGTCTGCCGTTGGTCGAGTTGGTGTGTGAGTGGATTTCGCCAAGCTGCGAGGCCGTGCAGGCTCACAAGACATCCAGAGAGGGGACGGGCAGGCGGGCAGTGCATCTCCTAGCCCTAGCTCTTCACCCGACACCTTGTGTGCATCATGTGTCACGAAAGAGTACCTTTGGCTGTTTTGACCCCCTCAGAGTGTGGTCCCCAACATCTGCAAGGCAGTAGGTGGGAGATGAGTTGCATGTCTGACGCTCCGAGTGCCAGTCTCGAAGCCCAAGAAACCAAGAGTGCACGCCCGCAACTTAGTGTTGCCGCAAACATTGAAGTCACAGCCAAAGTGCCGAAATGCAGAATCGAAAGCAGAAATGCCGAGACTTCCCCAGCCAGGTGGTCATGCTTCGAAGCAGTCTGTGGCTGGGCGTGCAGCGGATTTCGGAGTTCAAGTCCCAAGGTTTTGGACGAGCAGAGAGAGAGAGAGAGGGAGAGAGAGAGAGAGAGAGATGAGAGATAGGTTTCAGGCCTGAGGACTGTGACATTAGGATGCGTTCGCGCGAGTGGGGTGCTGGTTTTGGCTGTGTGGAAGGTGGAAGAAGATTTCAGGCTTTTGAAGAAGCGTTCGATACCACAACTGCTACAGTCGCATACTATCGCAGCTATACCCGTTTATCTTGATTGTGACGGTCGCATCTACTATCACTCTTCGACTTTGCATGGCCACTGCCGTTGCAGCTGCGTGTTCTTACTGCAGCAGCTGCGGCTCCTTCTACTAGAGCAGTATAGGGCAGTTGCCCCACCTCTCACTCCGACGCCAAAACGACTACGACTAGTACCACGACCAAGACGAGGACGAAGACTATACTGCGTCTACTGCCACTTTTACGTATATAATAATGCTTTCATTTCAATGCCATTGGCGACTTCTGGTAGGGGGACTACCTCCTCCGGAATTCGTGCCGCAGCTACCACTTCTGAGTTAGAGCCTACAGAAGGCCGGTCACTATAACTTCTACTACCAGGAGTAATGCGCTTGCGACCTCTCTTTTGGCCATGCTGGTTCCCACAGTGTTATCAAATGAGGTTTACTTTGCAAATGTTTGATCATCGAATTCTCCGTGCCATGACTCCTGCTATGTCTTCTTCCTCGAATGATCCAAGCATGTCCACTGGGTTTATATACCCTAAACCCGCCTCCTTTGCGCCCTACGAACCTCGCCTGCAGGGTCCGAGTCGCAAAAGTCCAAACCCGAAAGCCTAAGCCCATGGATGCGACTTTGTCAGCTGGGCGGGTGGGTAAAAAAGGCCCATGCACTACCCATAGGCTCCTTAGTAGTTCCTTTTTGAGATTACCTTATAGGATTCTAAACATGAGCCATAAAAAGGAACTACTTAAGGGCCCATGTACTACGGCCCAGGTGAATTTTACACAGAAGACCGCCTCGAGCAGATCCGCGATGATGGCGGTGCAGGGCACAGGCCGACCTAGCGAGTACTATTTCAACTTCTAGTACTAGCATCTTATAGTATAATATACGATAATCATAGAAGGTAACATAGCATAATATAAGATAACAAAAATCGCACTAGAATATATTGTACCATGACATAACATACATTCAAAGATGAACTATGGCGGACTTTCGTTTTTTTGGTTTAGGGGCTTTGGTTGCGTAGGGTCTTGTCTGGTTGGCCACCGGAAGCAGGGCACACTATGTTCCATGGGCGCCCGCAATTACAGCCGTGCTATTTTCCGTGCTGCGGATCCAAACCCTACAACAAAATCCTAAACCCTTGCTGATGCGCAAGGGTGACACGCACAAATCGAGAAGCCGAAACCCTTGCTGATGATGGCTTTTTGCCAAGGGGGGTCTAGGTAGGAGAATGTGAAGAGAGGGATGTCGGAAAGACGACGGGGCCATTGAAACCTTTCAGACCTTGTTGCTGTTTCCACTGCTTGCCAGACGCGTTGGGACATGAATGCCAGAGCGCATTATCGTGCAGTTCAGCTGAGCCTTTGTTTTGAATTCACATCTGTCACGCCTGGCACACTGCCTAGTGATTCACTCAGCAATGTGGTGGCCATGGGGAAGACGAGCTCGGGGAGTTCTTACCAGGTTTTTGCTGACCTAATAGTGGCGTCAGAACTGCCATAGGCAGATGATGAGGATTCATTGATGGTGATGGTGATGATGGGGATGACCGTGATGACTATGAGAACGATGATCGTGATGATGATGATGATGTTGATGTTGATGATGGTGCTGATGATGATGATCAGCATCATCATCATCATAATTTTGCTGTTGTTGTTGTTGTCGCTGTGGTAGACATGACCTCGAGATTCGGGATGCTCGTGCCTGCTTCGTAATCAAGGTACTGACCCGGACAGACTCTTGTACCCTGCAGGCATAGCTTCGAAGTTTGAGGACGACCCTGCCCCCGATTAGCAGTGGCCAACAAGTGTTTCGAACCCTTTCAACAGTGTACGTAAGCTCGTGCCAGCATGTCCTTGCCAGGGAGAAGGTGGACACACTCTTGAGCCTGCAGCTGGGCTTCACAAGGTGATGCAATGTGATGCGCGAGGCCGAATACGAGTTGGTTCCGTTGGCACCACTCGCCTTGGTGGCCAAGGATCAAAGATCTCGCGAGCGATCCCCCAGATGAAGCCGACCTCCCCGGCGGCGTGAGTGAGATGTCGTGAGGCAAAAGGCAAGGAGCGGAAGAGCGAGTGATTTTCCACAAAACTTGCCGTAAGTCGACTTCAGCCCTTTTCCATATGTTTTGGCCGCCGGGACAGAAATCAGCACAGCAAGCAATTGAGTCTTCGGCAGCCAGTCGAACCAGGCCCTGTACAACAGGTAAAATTGTTCAAGCGCCATCACAGCGTGGGCCCCTTCAACCTACAATCCTAATTCTGCAGTTCGTGGTCATGAACATGGGAGTGCATGCAAAACAAACGAGAAGCTGAAACATGCTTACTATTTAGACTCGTCATCCGAACACGATCTGGTCAGCTCTCGCTTGACCCCACATCAGACCCTACTGTATCCATCGGACCAGAGCTCCAGTTTGCTATGCCCCTGAAGCATAACAAATCTCTTCCGGCGGCAAACGATGTCAGTTAGACACCTGACAAACCCTGCTTTTTGAGGGCCCACGCGTAAGTCCTGAGCTTGCCCCCCAGCTGAAAGCTACAGTGCTTCATCGTCTTCCGCTCGTGCTCACCTCGACGGACGTGATCCTGTCGGAGCAGATTTACAGGGGCACAGGGGCTCACATGAACGGAGACGGGCACTTGGTACTACTTTCGTTACAAGCATGCAGACCTAACTTTCTGAGTGTATGCATACGCTTCACGTGTTTATGAGCCGACAGTGTTTTGTCGTTATTATCAGCATCTTTGTAATAGGCGCTTATGGTTGGCAGCCGCAGTATCATGACGGTGGGAGTATATTCTCGAAGCCCTGCACCGCTTTCATTTGTTTTGTGGAAAATGTCCGGCATGGGCAAGTTAAGTTTAGAATGGTGAGTTTAAGGATGCATGCTGCGCGCGCTTTAAACTCGGGCACAAGGTTGTGGGCTTGGGGCTTGCACCTACTAGGATGTATCCTGCTGTTGTGCTGCTGGATCACTGTTGAGATTGTTGGTTTTAGTGGGGCTGCTGCTGCTGCTGCTGCCGCCTCGTACTACTGCTGCTGCCTCTTTCTTCGACGGCAGCGGCTACTACCGCCACTGCTTCTTCGATGACGGGGTGATAGCAACAGTATCGGCATGAATCTGCTAAAGTCGAGGAAAATCTAACCTGGAGCGTTTTTTCATGTGTTTGTGCCGGTGTAGTTTCTCGTGGTGGGTGGATGTTCGTTGTCCCACATGATCCTGCAATCATGCTCGGCAGTTTCTCGCGTGTTGCTTGATTGAATGATGCTGGAAACCGCAAGAATAGTGCCGCTAGAAGTTAAACTGACAAACGCTACAGCATAAAATCGCCAGCAGTAAGAAGCCCCAGAGAAAGCAGAGAACAACCAACCCCGACAAGTAGCGGGAAAGAACAACACCCCCGACAAGTAGGGGAAAGAAGGCCATTGGTAGCAATTAGAGCAAGGGTCACCCGCATTGAACAACGAAGAGACGGCAGTCGACCTCCAGGTCTAAGGTTTGCCTGGGCAAGTTCCGCTCTAGTCCTGTTGGTAGACTTCAGATACTGCTGGTGGAGAGTCCTGGCGTGAGCCTTATGTGACTACGCTGGCACGAGTGTGTGTTTTGCTGCTGAGGGGTTCGGAGGAATGGGCTTGGCGTCGACATCGTTCAAGCATGAGCTTGAGATTATCAAGTCTGCTCCGACTAGCTCACTTTGTGGTCAGCTTTACCACGTGCGGTGGCAAGTCTGACAAGAGACTACCACCAACCAGCGGCCTTCGTGTTACGGGCCATAGTGTCGAAAGCACAGGCCCTATGCCCGAACTGTTGACGTTTATTGCCGGGCAGAAGATCCGCCGGCAGCAATCTCCATCGCTTTGAGGATGTGTAGAGTCTTGGCAAGAGAGCTGAGCTCCATGATTTGGTTGCTGCGTGTACAGACTGCCAGCGCCAAGTTGCGGTGCCAGATCAAGCCGTGTAGCCCTTTCTCTCAGAGGTGCTCTCCATTCCCAAGACATCCCCCTGCATTCCTACATGTCCTGGGTTGCACGGCCGGCCCAGAACCATGGCACCCGCTTGCCAAAGACTGCGCTCGAGGTTTTAAATGACATGATGTTGTTTTGCATGTTGTCGATGTGGGAGTCGAACTCAACAGGATGTTACTCAAAGTGAGGGTTTCACAATATTGAACGGAAACTCGCTAGGATGGGTGTGCTAGCAGCGCGATAGGAGCGACCCCATGAAGCAAAGGTTCGAGCTAAGCTTCTTTTCAAGCCATGCCCGGCGCCCCGAATCTCATGTCGTCAAGCTTACAGCTGATGTGGATGGCTCCCACATCCTGTTGCCGCTGTCTTTCGATGCACGCACGCCATCGGGCAGCATGCCTTGTACAGTGAGGCTCTGGCGGCAAGAGCCAATTCACAACCTTTGAACATCTCAAGTCCCCTGTGCCGTCCTTCTCCCTCATGCTGAAAGCTTGCTCCCCTAGGCTTTCTATGGCCAATGTGGCGGGTCAGTGCATGACCGCCGGGGGACGCGGGCAACATGAGGATGAAGGGCAGAAATTCCCGTCCTTGCAAAGCAAGCAGAAAAAAAACACATGTAATTGCTTGCAGAGTATGCTCGCCTGTGCCTCCCTCCTTAGCTTCACTTGCCCTGCATGGTATTCCACTTTATCCCGACCCCAGTCGCACAACTGTAATCCTTGTAATTTGAGATCCTGCTAATTATGGCCCGTTGCATACAAATTGGGCGAGCGAGCAGCCTCTGCGGAGTGCTGGCGAAGAGAAGCATGTTTCGCCTAAGAGAGATGCGACAGATGCCGACTAGAAGCCCCTGTCAGCATGTTAGACGAGGTGCCAGGCAGGTATGCTGAGA